CCGGTAAGAACGATAACACTCACCTCCAAGTAGCTAGATATAAGATGCTGGGCGGCAGCGGCAGGTTCAGCGGTGAGAGGGAGGGGGCGGGATTCAGCGTGTGTGAGCTGTGATTGACACTCCATCAGACGCTCCTCTGGCTGTGATTGGTTGTTTTGACTCGTCCCGAAATATTCTTTCCAGATTGCAATACAGGCAGTAGGCGGGACCAATTGAAGCAGTTTTTTTCACAGGTTACTTATCACATGCACTGCTGTCTGGGCATAGGGACAGTTTTAGCCAATATGACAAAAAAGTGATTTTTAAAAACTTACAGACTTCAGCTTTAAAGCTACAGTGTGTAATAATTACAGGGATATACAGTCAGAAATGTTATATATTATACATAACTATGTTATTTTATCATCATCTACGAGCTCAGCCTCTTAACCTTAATATTTGCGTTGCCTTAGAATTCGTTATTTATAATTACATAGGAGCGGGTCTCGCAGCCATGGAGGCAGACATCTTTGCGCTACGGCAGCGCAGAGCCAACAAACTAGCGATTGCGAGATTGCCAAAACGTCACAACAATGTAGAAAAAATAACGGGTATATTTATTATCTTAAGTCTACATGAAATCTATACCCTACACAGACTAATGAAATACTATCTGTAAAATTATCTATGTAAACAAACCTCATCACTTGAGAAGGTAGGTGATGCGGACGTCGTGGAAGACATTTTGTCCCGTAACGCTCGCCGTACTGTTGGGGGGGAGAAGTGGTGGGGGGGAGATGTTCATGTTGCTGCAGTCTGGACGTCAGATGTCGCTAAAAGTTACACACTGTAGCTTTAAGACTCTAATGCTGGGTTCACACCGGGGGCAGCTGGCGCGACAGAAGCAGCGAGTTTACATGCAAAGTCAATGGTTGACGCGCGTCAAGGCGCAGCAAAAGGTCCCGCGGCGCGTTTCGAGCAGCAAGCGCAGCGCGTCTGAGCAGCTGAAGCAGCGCGTCGGGCGCACTTTGGCATCTGACGTGCGTGACGCGCCGCAAACGCGCTGCTGCTCGAGATGGAAAAATTGAATTTTTGCTGCTCGACGCGCCGCATCAACCAATCAGAGAAGCTGATCTGGGAGCTGGCTGGGAGAGAGACACAGCGCTGATGAAACAGACCGCTCTGATCACTTCTCTTAAACAGTTTATTAAAGCATAATTAACTTAAAATATATACATCTGCCGGCAGAATATGTTGGCTTTTATTATTCTGGTGCCTGCAGATCGGATTATTTAGATGAAAAACACCTACCAGCCACCGCGGTAAACCGCGAGGAGGCGACCCGGCCAGAGGCTGCCGATGAATGGATTCCTTCTGTCGGCGCACCGCCGGTATGTGGGGGTCTGAGCGGCTCCGACAGAAATAACAATGGGAGGCAGGATTGTAATCTGGATGAACTGACTGCACAGATGAAGTTTTCAGGTGTATTTTCTCACTTAAAAACATATTAAAACTACTTTATTCCCACTGATCACAGCAAATATAGCTGCAAGGCAGAGAAAGGATAGTGAAGCTCCGACCAACGCGCGTCAGACACACTTTTGGACCGCGCAGCGAGAGCAGCAAAGCTGCTTCAGACGCGCGTCAGAATTCACTGGTACAAGCAGCAAAAATGAAGCAGCAGACGCGATTTTGCTGCTTTTGCTGCCCCCGGTGTGAACGCAGGATAAGGCTTGATTTCATTGTGTATGTACATGCCATTTGATATTGAACAATTGTTAATAATCTTCAATAAAAAAAATTAAATAAATAAATAAAACCAATATTTACATTCTGACCGGTCTGACTAGGGAGTACCAATATGGCGGCTGGTGTCTTACCAACGGCCTATTAGCATCCAGTGAATAAATAGAGATCAGAGGAACAGAGGAGAGATAAAACGGAGAGGATTTTAATTCATTTATATTCTCAGGTAAAACATTATTAACCTTTAAAAGATTATAGTTTAGTTCGTTTACTGTTTGTTTTGTAGGGGGGAATCAATGTAATTTAACATCGAGGTTGACCCGGATGTAGATGTAGGGGCGCATGCGCACTGAGCTGCTGGTAGGGATCGGGCAGCATTAGCAGCATTAGCTTAGCTTGTGTGTGGAGTCATTGTAGAGAGGCTGATAATCTGGGAGTGTTTGCAGTGAGAATGTCTTCAGTCCAGCTTCAAGGAGAGTTTATCACCGAGCAGTTAACTCCTGCTGAAGAAACATTCACGGAGTTTAAAGGGAGTTTGGTCAATTCGGAGGAAAAGATGGACGATCAACATCTACTGCTGGATTTCACCAGGATCCCCCGGATCATCTTACACCGGATAGGTAGGAAACACCTGATAGAAACGATTCCCTGATGATGCACACTGTGGATTTTAGCCTCATCTGAATGGAAAACTGCTTAGAGGAGATCAACATGCTAAGCTAAAGCTAACCTCCGGTTAGAGCTGAGGTTCCCTAAAGGCTAAAGGGTTAGGGTTCAAAAACCTGGGCTGCATCCTCCAAGGACGCGGTCTACCTAGACTGGATCCTTCGAAGTCCTTGAAAATAAGGAGACCGGAAGAGTTTCGGCTGCGAAATCGACCAGGTCTACCCTTCGGCGGGTTTTATCGCTGTGGCTCTGTTGCCTAGCAACCGTGAAAGTTGACACACAAAGCAGGAAAAGAACGAATACCGAGGTTTTCAAACTGTTTATTTATTTTTTATTGTAAAGTGAACAAAGACTACACTCACAAGAATCCAGAGTGGATTAAAGGTTCCAACCACCGGGAGCAGGAACAAATCAAATCAAATGTAATGATAGAAACCTTAGTCAGTTAAATAACCTGCTGCTGTCATTCTGCACATCTCTGATGTTGCTGCTATTTTCAAATATTCATCACTGTAAAAATGTCCATAGCTGCATATTGGTTATTAATTCTCCAGTTTTATATTGTTAAAACACTTTACAGGATTTTATTGTTTATATTTTAACTCTTCCCTATTGTTAAAGTGAGAAGGATTTGTCCCCTTCAAAGTAAAGGCTGTAACGCCCCGGGGCCTCCTCACACGGTTCTTTTCCTGGGAGCAAGTTATTTACTACTCTTAACTCAAACTCGTTAAAACCATATAAAAAAGGACTATAAAAACAGGAGTAAAAAAGTAACAGAGTTTATTCTAGATCAGGTCGTTACAAGACAGAGAAAAATGCTTAGAGCTATGCACAGCTGTGGTCTCAAAAATCACGTCCGCAAGCGTCCGGCAAAGTTTGAGCCCCGAACAACGTCATCACCTGCTTCTTATACCTTCTGAGTCTGTGTCACATCATGTGGATGCTTAGCTGTCCGTATCAGAAACTGACACGCCATCCATGTCTTGAACTCCATGCAGGTTGCCTCTCTGTCTCAGGGTTACAGATACAGCAGCTCTCCTATCAGTCCGGCTCCAAGATGTGCCCATATCCTTTGTACTCTTAGAGACACAAAGGCTGTCTTGATTAGATGACCTCCGCACACACCGTGATATCCACAATGTGAAGGAAGGCCTTCTGCTCTGTCTAATCTGACAAACAAATTAACAGTGCACATGATGTATAAATAATAAACCCTAACAACTCCCCCTGATAAGTTACCGTTTTTACACGTAACTTAAAAAACACAGGAAGCGGCACATCTTCGAAGGACCGGGTGACCCAGAGAGCATCTATAATTAGTCAAGTATCATTAATTAGGGATCAAAAGTAATCACAATCAAAGCTTCACAGACCAAATGTTCTCACTCAAGACCACAGTTTCAGCATTTAACTACAATTTGGGTGTCATCTAATTAAAGGAAAGCTGTTTTAGTTTCCTATGCGCACATTATTTTAAGTTACCTTAGCCTAGATAACCTAAGCCTATAAATCTAATAAGGCCAAATTCATCTACTCTCACTCCCACCTGGAGGCCTCCTAAATGTGACCGCTCCTCATGGATAAACCATCTATCCAACTTTACCAATCAGTCAGTCACAGTAGGGGACATCACAGGACAGGTTGGGCCGTTCTCCACCGGAAAACGCTACCCTCTCTAAAAGGTAGTAAAAACCGGGGTGACCCCGGGGAAATCCCACTCTCGGCCAATCTGAGCAAGAAAACCCCGTTTTGAATCTGATAATTACCATTACCAACTACTTAAAGAACCGGTAAGGTTCAGAGTCTTCCTACATCAAAGAAAAAGTGGCATAAAACGTGATCTTGGTGGGTCTGGAGCAAAATATCTCCATGATTTTCATCAAAACCAAATCAAAATAAATCAAAACATATACATCACAATTAGGTTAAATCAAGAATTATCCTGGTCCGAGTTAAAAACAAATTATGAATATCACTGATGATGATGAATTCTTTCAGTGTCTCTATCACACATCAATCAAATTAATCAATCAGAGTCTCGTATGGCCTCCTCCACGGCCACTTTGTTCTCCATGCAGTCCAGCGGCCGATAGATGCTGAATCCATGTGGTGGTTCTCATGGACTGTTCTCATCACAGTTCATCAATCTTTTCCTCCGGGATCCTTCGACACACAGAGAGTGCAGTCAGTGTTCTTATCACGATAAGCAGTGTCTTTAATGAGCAAATCTTTATTCACTCAAAATCTAAGTCACAACCAGATATTCTTATCCACAATTACTTTCCCTTTATCCCTTAAATCACCATTAACCTACATTTAAATTAATTTTCCATGGACTCTGTGTTTTTTCAGCAGATTATTTCAGTGTCTATTCAAAAAAACAAAAAATAAAAATAAATAAAAAGAAATACCCAAAAACATTAAACATAACCTAGCTTTCAATGCCTGGCAGTTGAAAGTTATTTATACCAGTATGTATTCAGCCTGAACATCCTATGGATGTTTCAGCTCATCATTTTTTGTTCATATAAGCTCAAAATCACTGCAACTAATATAATCTAATTCAAGGAACCTGTAAATATTTAGAAAACATTTAACCCTTTTTTACACATTGTAACACTCAATTCATGGATTAAATAAATGAATTTTAAAACCATTTCTACATCATAGCATATTAAGTTTTAGTCTCGTCTAAACTTGTAACTGCATTTTAGTTTACTGCTACACCCTCCCCAGAAAATTATTAGAAGTTCTTTAATCTCTAAGGAAAAAACCCAGCTTGGCGCAGATTCCCCCTATTAAAAACTCCCCCACCAGACCTTGTATCCGTGAATGTTAGTGCATGAGAGAAAACCTCATTCCCATGTGGACCCTTGTGTGTTCTTCCAGTCGTTAACCGTGTGTGGGCGTGTTGTTACGTGACAGTATGTGTGTGTGTCTATGTGAGTGGATCTATATGTGGGAAACTGGTCAGGAGCCATCCCGCTACTGGTTTGGAAGAAAAAGTGTTTCTTGGAGCAGTGATCCTCTCCAACATGCAAAAAAAGTTCGATGTTCGGACAAGTCCATCAGGTTTCCCTCTGCTACCACAGCAGCTTTGAACCATAAGAGTCTTGGGGCCATGTGTCCCCACACCCCCTGAAGGATAAGTCTTTACCTGTGTCATCAGCAGTATCACATAGAGGTAGAAGGAAACAGTGCGTCAAAGGTGTTCCTCCCTTCAAGAGGAAATGTCATATTGAAATGTTCATCTGCTCAGAGCACAGGATTGTACTCTGACTCGCTGCTGCGTTCCCAAAACTCAGCAGTACACAGTTCCTGAAGGTGTTGAATTCGACTGCACCCCCTCTATGCAAAGTGTCCAGCTATAGTCCATTTAAAATATTCTCCAAAAAGCAGTGCTCCGATGAGAAAAAAAAACAAAACAAAAACAAAGAACAAAGAACAAAATAAAAACAAGAAAAAAGAAAATCTGTTCCAACATCCCCAGAACCAGTCAATAGTTGTCATATCTGGACCCCTGACCAGATCCAAAAAATGTGCAGGAAACATAATCTCTTCTCATATGTGTTATCTCAAATAAACTAAACACTAAAGTGTGCATCCCCTCTAAAGTATTAATTGCAGCTCTAGTGAAGTAAAGTCAGGTGTTCTTATTGCTTCATGCATTAAAAGTATGGTTACCCATCCCCCAAATTGTATATAGCCCCTCAAATGCTATTTATAACTCTGCTCGCAGTAAAAAACCAAACAAAAAACCCCAAATAAAACTAATCAAAACAAATAAAATAAAATAAAAATAAAAAAAAATAAATGGTGAAGTTTTAGTCCCTGGGCCTGATATTGAATCGCCATAAGCTCATTAACACTATAAGTCTTCATCGTTATTGCTTATATTGAAAGAAACCATCATTTGCTTTAAACATTTGCTCCTGAAATGTTATAATTTCCCCTAAATTGCATTCTGTTGATGCAACTTTACCATTCCCAAAAGTTAAAGTTTCAACTTGTTGTCCCTTTAACATTCTGCTAATTAATAACTGACCAAACTATTTATCAAAAAACCCGGTCTAATTTATCACATAGTAAAACATCTCTAAATCCTCTTTTTTATTCCTCTATTTAAGAATACTCCACCCCCTGATGATATAAAGAAAATTTAGCAGACCATTTAAAATCTGTCGGTAAAGTTACTCCTATAATTTATATTCTATGTTGTTGCCATCGCTTCTGATATTTCTCTTTAAGAAAATAAATAAATAAAGCAATAATACTAATAATCCCCAAACTACTGCCGCGTTGTTCAGAAAGATATTACATCTACCTGTTGATCTCCGTAAAGCAAAAATATTATTTATAGATCTGTATTAATAAACCGGTTTAAAATAAGTTGCCCATCATTTTTCATTGTGAATAAGAAATCTGGTGTGTCAGTTCACTTATCTTTTTTTTCATCCGTCTTGTCCGATGATCCCATGACCTTCCATCATCCCACCACTGCCGGTGGCCTTTTCTCATCCAAAGCAGTGGGCATCCAGTCATTTCCTTAATGTTCGCATCTCAGCAGCTGCAAACCATCCCTCCTTCTGAAGTTTAGGAGCAAAGTTAGTCTCTGTGCCCCTTGTAGGTTAATCCATCCTGTGACTCAAGAAAGAAAGTGTCCAATGTCTCTCCAAACAAAAAGATCCATTGTTCATTTTGAAACATTTCCATCCGTAGTGTAGTCAAAACTATTCAAACAAAATTAACATGCGTGCCACGTCTTTTTTTTTTTTTTTTCATAAAGGCTAAGATGTTAATAAACAAACAGAAAAAACAAACAAACATACAGACACAAACAACGACAAACATGTAGGACAACAAAAACCCCAGTGGTGCCTCCGACTTCTCCAAATAGTTGTTGGTTCATCTTGTCATTCGTTAAATGCCTCTGTCAGCATGACTGCTCTTAATGTTCCACCCCAACAAAAGTCTGTGAGCTTCAAACCACCACATCCATCTGTACCTCATAGGTCATATCAGAACCAGAGAGGAATTAAAACAAACCCAGAGCTCACCAGAATGGCCTTCAGCCGGGAACAAAACATGCAGCTCACAATCTCTACACCCTGTCTCTGGCATGCTGCGTTCTCACACCATCTCTCTCATGTCCTGATCCATGTTCCGATCCAGTCCAGTTACTAACCAAGTCAGTCCAGTCAGTTCGAACCTATTCAAATCCTCCTATCAAAAAGTTTTCAACTATCTGAACCCCCCTCTCTCTCTTGCTGTAGTCACTCTCAGCCAAGTTGTCCATTTCACATGCCAGAACTTCTGCAGCTGTTGGGAAAATAAGGGTTAATGCACATCTTAAACAAAACACAATGAAGGATGAGACATTTGTCAGCCTGTCCTGTAAGAAAACTGTTAACAGTTAAGGATTGTTACAAACACAGCCTGAAAAAGAAAAAAGGAACATGTTTAAGCAAAATGATCTCCTGATCCTCCTTAAATGGGCCTCTGAATAATCATGCTTGCTCCCTGACAGCCGCACTGTCACTCTCTACAAGCAGGGAAAAAGTAAATGACCCCTCTGGTTTGTTACCAGGAAAAAGCAATCAAAAAGTTCATCAATTAGTCAATAGTTAATCACTTCATTCACAGAAATTTGTAAAGTTAGCGGAATTTAACAAGTCATGCAAAGAAGGTAAGGCCCAGATGAACAGTGAAAAGATAAGTGTTAGTAATGATTAGAGATGCAAATTAATCAGTTTGTGCTTAGGCAGTTTCCAAACTGCATTATACACAGATAAAAATAATTATAGATAAAAAACTGAAGGCTGAAAAAACCCAGGGTCAGGTCACACCGAAATTGTTTTTAACTCTCCAGCCTTGTTTATAAAAGTTGACCCCGCTAATCTGCTGAGCTCCTGCGGGTATCTTGGCCATATGCTGTGTCCAGTTCCAGCTCGAAGTGTGATTTATCCTGTCCCTAATCAATCACTAATAAAATCCTAATGAGAGAAAAATGAAACTAATCAATCTCTAATGCAATTCTAATGATTGAAAATGAAACTACCTTTAAATTAAAATCATGTAATGTCCTCGTCTGAGATTTTAGTTTCCCAAAAAGTAAAAACACCCATTCTGCTTCTTTCTGGATAATTACTTAAATATTTAATTATTTTTCTAATCTATAATCTATTAATCTACAGTATCTCAGCTGCACTCCACACCCAAAAATTACCTCACACCGTACAACAGCAACCTGCTCTGGTCTTGTCAGAGCCTCTCATAGGTGGAGCCCCTGAGCAACATGTTTGATACGATTGCCCTTCTGTTATGCCCCCAGTGCTCCTTCTCAATCCTGTAAAAATGCAAATCATGTTAATGTCACATCAAAAAATGTTCTTAATCATTTCCAACTTCACCACACACATTCTACCTCACATGCATTCCACATTTAGGACAGACAGACAGACATTGGCCACATAAAGTTTGTTTAATCCATCAGTATCAATTTAGATTTATCTTCTTAGAGGATTTTTTTTTCCCAATTTAAACAAAAATCATAATCTTTTCACCAGTCCGGTCTTAAGACCTCTGCACCAGTGCTTCTCAGCCTCATTTTAGGATCCTTGTTAAACTATATGTGCACATTTATGGAAACCTAAGATTTGTTTGCTCACGTTAGACACCAAAATAAGTTTTCACACCCAATGATTTTTAATTCTAAGTGTCCCCCAAAAATGACATGTTTGAATTTTCAAATATGAGAACACCTCTAAGGGGTTCTGAAAAAGTGGTATGTTTTGTTTTTCTCCTGAAAATCCCATTACCCGTGTAGTTTTTTGGGAGGTGGGCACATAAAGATTCATGGGGCTGTATCTGGCCCCCGTATCAATCATAAAAGGACAGTTGCTGCCCTCAATCAAAATATCTATCACTGCTGCTGGAAATTTCTCAAAAACTACCTCCGTAACTAAACAACTAGTGGGATCCCGGCCTCCCTAGTATTGCTGCATTGACTTCCTATCTCTAATTCTTACTGAACCCGCACTTCGATCTTCTTTGCCCATTTCTCCCCTTCTCTATCCAACTCACCCTCCATTTCATCTATTGCTGTCTGCCTCTCTTCTTTTTATCCACCGAACTCAACCTTCCTAATTTATCTATTTGATGTAACCCACTCTATTTTGAACAGTTGGCTGAGTAAAGATCCATTTAATCCACCTTAGAGTATCCTCAGTGATCAGTGTTTAATTTATATTCACTTTGCTACAGTTTGACAAACTTAGCTTGTGTGGTCTAACATTTTCAAATATAAGCTCCTGAATCAGTCACTCTAAATGCAGATTACAATACCATTCTAGTGTAGTAATTGGTAGATGTCTTTAAGGTAAAAACTGCTTCTAGACTCCTGGGCCCTGCCTTTGCTGTGACCGGCCCTGTGCGCACTCAGTCTCTCTGTGTCTTCTTTTTCTTTTCTCTCCTGCCTCTAAGTGAAGGGCTGCTCTGTGTGATCCACCTTCTGGAGCTCAATGTTGGGCCGGGGTTTACCGCACTGAAAATGTACTAATTGATCTTCTTACCTTTAAAATGTTAATTTCAAGACATCGTAAATTGTAAATATATCAACCTCTTATATTTTAAGCTTTCCTTTCCAAGGTTCACCTCCAAAAATCACAGAAACATCAACATTTTCATAACAATAGGAACTGAAATGCTGAAATGCTTTATTTACCGCCTCCTCTATTAAATCTTGCATCTGAAACTCCTTTCGTACCTCTTGTCCCAATTCTTCCTCTGTAGGCCTTATTTCACAATTTATCTGACCTTCACGCAACTCCATAACAGGCATCCTCTGAAGTGTCGAGTGCCTGCTCACCTCCCTGAGCCCCGTTTTGCTCCACCTGTTTCTGTTCAGAATCCTTGTCAGAAAAATAGTTACTAAAATTGAACTTGGTTTGTCTAATCAGATCCAAAAGTTTTGTTTCTTCCTTCTGGTGCTAACGAGGTATTTCTGGATTCAATTTTCTAGTCCACATGCATCCATCTTTCACACCTTTTGTTCACACAGTGTATAAAATTGGACCTCGACGTCTTACGTGAGATCCCTCGGTGCTCTAAACTTTTTACCTATAAGCTACAGTGAGCCGCTTCTCTGCTAAGGAAGTGCGTCCGTCAAAGAAATACGTCCGTCAGTGAAAAGGAAAAAAAAGAAAGGAAATTTAGAGAAAAGAAAAGATTTAGATATAGTTCCGCCTAGTTCACTCCACCAACTTTGAGGATTAGACAAACAAGTTACCTAATCCGGGCATCAGTCTCTTCTAGTTTTATGAGGAATAGCATTTTATCGTCTCTCTCTTTTCCTTTTATAAGAGAAGAGAAGGAAAGAGAAAAACACCTCAAAGGTCCGTTACAACCTGACTCGCTCGCTTATTTCCAGTCTCGGTTTTTCGTAAATGTCCTTATGGGAGGTATACTGGCAAACTCTAGCCGGCTATGTGACTGGTTTCTGTCTGTGCGTCTGTTTTCAGAAGTGCATCTTTCGTGTCTGCAGGCAGACCGGGAATAAAATCACCGTCCCTTTCTGCATGCAGAAACCGTTGGGCTTTCCAACCAACTTATCCTAGTGAATAGTATAGTTCTTGAAGACGTTTGCGCAGTCGCCTTCAGTCGGACTTTCAACCGCTACCCACAGCAGAACGCACGACTTTCTCTCTCTCTCGACTTTCTTCCTCTCTCTCTCCTTTTTTTTTTCTTTTTTTTTTTTATGTGTACACGTTCGCAATGTAAAAAATTAAAAACCAACAAATACAACCAAACAAAAACCGCAAAAACAAAAAACTAAAATCACTCTGAGCAATTTCTCTGTCCTCTTTTGCATAAAAAGCTTCAGCTCACTTCAGAAAATCACAACACAGCCAAAGTGTTTTAACAGTAAAAACACTGGAGATATTTTGTAATAAGGAATCTCCTCACCTTATCAGTTGTTTCGGCCGCAGGCTGTGGAGCTTTTTCCGTCGGTGGCTCTGTTGTCTTGCTTCCAGGTCACGGGCGGAAACACCAATTTGTTAAAGTGAGAAGGATTTGTCCCCTTCAAAGTAAAGGCTGTAAAGGGCCTCCTCACACAGTTCTTTTCCTGGGAGCAAGTTATTTACTACTCTTAACTCAAACTCTGTAAAACCATATGAAAAAGGACTATAAAAACAGGAGTAAAAAAGTAACAGAGTTTATTCCAGATCAGGTCGTTACAAGACAGAGAAAAATGCTTAGAGCTATGCACAGCTGTGGTCTCAAAAATCACGTCCGCAAGCGTCCGGCAAAGTTTGAGCCCCGAACAACGTCATCACCTGCTTCTTATACCTTCTGAGTCTGTGTCACATCATGTGGATGCTTAGCTGTCCGTATCAGAAACTGACACGCCATCCATGTCTTGAACTCCATGCAGGTTGCCTCTCTGTCTCAGGGTTACAGATACAGCAGCTCTCCTATCAGACAGGCTCCAAGATGTGCCCATATTCTTTGTACTCTTAGAGACACAAAGGCTGTCTTGATTAGATGACCTCCGTACACACCGTGATATCCACAATGTGAAGGAAGGCCTTCTGCTCTGTCTAATCTGACAAACAAATTAACAGTGCACATGATGTATAAATAATAAACCCTAACACTATTATGTTATTCTTATACATTTTTTCTAAGGTCCTCATTTGTGTGACCATTTTCAATAATCTTTCTGCTGCTGTAAATTTGCCCATTGTGGGACAATAAAGGGATTTTCTATTCTATAAAAGGGTAGAAAGATATAAGTAAATCTAAACAATCATCCTTTGAATCTTGCCTTCTAAGGACACAGCACATAAATTCGAACAGAGCTTTGGTTAATTGTTTTTCGGGATTCCACTCTGTGTTTTCCTTCTTATTTTATAATAGTAGAGGAGATGTGTTAATCATGGAGAGCAGCAGCAGCTGCTGGTCCTCTAATGTAAACATTTAGAGACATCCTGTGATTTAAGTCATTAATATCACCACCAAGGTAGTTGTCCCTGCGAAAATGTGTTTCCCCTCATCGGGAGCGAGTTAACTCCGCCGCATTTCCAACGTACAGAACTTGAAATTTGAAAGGTTTTACGTGTATGAAAGATGAAATTTTGGAGTTGATGGAGCTTTGTTTCTTAAAGTTACAAGGGGGAACATGCTTCACCAGCTGAGATGTTTAGATGTAAAAGTGTCTAATGGTAGATACTGAAGTAAAATTAAGCTGACAGCACCTACTCACTGCAGGCTTCAGTATTTGTAAAGTGTGGAGCCTGTAACGTAACCATTTAGGGCAATAACAAATATTTGTAAAAAAAAAAAAAATACATTCAAGGTTTTGCTTCTAACTTCTCAATAAAATAATAACACATTTTATTACAAGGTAGAAACAGAATAATAGAAACAACCTAACAAAAGTGTCGACATGCAAACACACCTAATCCTCTTGGGGATCTGGGTTCCTACTAGGGCTGCAACAACAAATCGATAAAAATCGACTTTTAAAAGCGTTGGCAACGAATTTAATCATCGATTAGTTGTGTCGCGCGATTAATGCGTCATCCGCCGCCGTCATCACATCCACTTGACTGAAACGGGGGAAGAAAAAAAAAATACGGCAGTGCCGCAGGTGCAGTGTTGCCAACTCAGCGACTTTGTCGCTATATTTAGCGACTTTTCAGACCCCTCCAGCGACTATTTTTCAAAAAAGCGACTAGCAACAAATCTGCCGACTTTTTGCGGTGTCACTGGCGGCTTTTGGAGATTCTTACGTGAAAGCATGTATCGTTCCTACTCTGCCATGGGGCGCCTCCCCCATCCCATCCCCGTTCTCTCGCTCCCACAGGAGTCCCTCTCAGCGCTGCAGTCAGAGCCGCAGGATGTTCACCCTCAGCGTCCAGACTGCAAATGAAGCGCGCATGCGACGGGATTGACGACGCAAATTGATCACAATAATTAAAATAGCCTGCGCTTTGTAAAGTGAAAAAACTCGTAACATGCAACTTTTGTAAAAACAAATGAACATGGCACGGAAGCACCACTGTTATGACGCAGCACCTGAAAAGAAAACAGGTTGGAGCCTTCAATGGCAGTGAAGAGAGCTGATCAGCAGGATGTGTAACCATGTTTGTTTGGTTTTAAAGTGGGGAAACGTAACGTTAGTTTCTCAGGTAGCTCATCTGATGCTTTCCTTACCTTGTTAGTAGGTTACAGACAGTGATAAGGTTGGCTACTTATTTTATTTTTACTTTCATTTGAATTAGCTTAAGCAGCGTTTCTATTTTCTTTATAAATAAATTAACTTGCAAATTATTAGGGCAAGGGTTTTAAAGTTTAAATCTTCTGGCAAAGATAAAGAAAAGATGATCCTGCAATTTATGGAAGTAAAGCAGAATAAAATCCAGCAAGATCAGTAATATGTCAATTAATTATATGCCACATTCCCATGTAAATATCTGTCTTTGGAGGATGTGTTTTTTAGCACCCCTAGTTCTCTCATTTTTATTCCAAATACAATTTATAATTTTAATCACTATTTTTATCTCTATGGTTAAAGGAGAAGTTCACTTTTTAACACTTTTAGCCCATTTTCTGTAGTGTCCAGGATGAAATCGAATGATCGACACCAAACTTTTGACAATTGCTCCTGTCTCTGCTTTTTGGCTCATTTAGAATCACCCCCTGGCTGCTTTAGAATGGCTTCCATAGAGCATGTCCGATAATGTCCTTAAAACAACCTTAAACGTTCTTTTTTTAAAATATGCTACTAACCGGGTCGTCAGCGCTGTTCAATGACGTTCCAAAAAAAGTTTCGTAAAGAAAAAACGTTCCTGTAGTGTTTTATTTAGCATTTTGTAAATCCCATTGAGTTCTGTTGGAATAGTCAATATTCCCCTGCCACCGGAAACGGAAATGGGGCCTGTTTACACAGTTGTAGTCTTTTCGCTTCACTCTGTGTACTCCGACGTCGAGGTGCTAACGTCTCTGTTAAACACTTTAAAAAACTCTGAAAATGGAATACGAAAGGTGGATTCTTGATTCTCGACATTCATTCACCCATTCACGCACACACTCACACACTGATGGTGGCAAGCTACATTGTAGCCACAGCTGCCCTGGGGCTCACTGACAGAAGCGGGGCTGCCGTACACTGGCGCCACCGGGCCCTCTGACCACCATCAGTAGACAATGCAGGTGAAGTGTCTTGCCCAAGGACACAACGACACTGAAAGTCAGAGTCGGGGCTTGAACCGTCAACCCTTCGATTTCAGGGCAAACTCCTACATCCAACGCCACTGTCGCCCAGATGTCTTCACAGACATTATATTGTACATTTCTAATAGGCGAAACAGCTTGACAATAATCTAGTTATTATAATTTACATGTATGAATCTTTTCAGTTACACAGATAGGTCTTTTTGTACATAACTAAGTCTTTTGCATAATTAGATGCCTGCCTTCAAGGTGAAGAGTCCACATGATGGGGCATCTGTCTGCTTGGGATGCATCACTGTGTCACAAGTCCACCTGGAGATGTTACATCCCATTTTTCACATCAATGCCCTGTAAACACATTCAAAATGTTAATAATGCATGACTTTGCGTTTTCGTCAGGCAAATTCGAAAAAAAAAAATTATTACCAGGGTCCCTGCGGGTCCTTAAAAAGTCTTAAAAGGCATTGAATTCTTCAAAATAAAACTAAGGCCTTAATTGGTATTAAAATGTCTTAAATCAGTCTTTCGTAGGTCTTCATTTTTCAAACATCATAAATAGGATTTTTTTTATTACGATTTATTTTTGTAATCTAAATAAAACATTAAAATTGACATTTTTTTTTTATAAAGAAAAAATATAACGGCGCGCCATTATTGGTTCCATCCTGATAGCATAACCAATAAGAGCGTTGCTTCGGCCGGGACATTTGGGAGATGCGCCATTAACTTTTTGTCTGGAAAATATGAGCAAGTGTAAATGTAACCAAAATTGGCTCCACCAAGAGTTTTCTCCATGGCTAAAACCAGGGAACATACATGAGGCTCAGTGGATTTAGTGCAAGAAGTCATTCAAGCTCGGAACGATGGGAATTAAGGCAGTGGAGTCCCACATGCGAAGCACGAAACACAAAGCGTCGAAATCGAGTTACCGAGAAACAGCCGGTATTTCTCAGTTTTGTTCCACCCTTGTCTCTGCAACGCCTCCACTTATCACCAAATCAAACATACTAAGAAAACGATGCAAAGAAAAAATAGCTGCAAAAAAGACTTAGCACTGGTTATGTTGTGGCTTTAAAACTGATTTTTGCTCCCTGCTAAAACAAAGTTTGTGAAATTAGTTCAATAATTGTTCAAATATATCTGTCATTTGTGTGTTTTTAGCTTTCTTCCTGTATGGGAAGCTTTTCAAAATTTGAAACATTGGTGCAGTGGTTTATGTTAAAGTAAACCTTTGGGTTAAGTTGTCGCAAGCAGGTTTTTCTTGTGTTTCTTGTGAATTTTGTCTTAAATTTTTATTTTAAGTGACATTAAAAAGTCTTAAAAAGTCTTGAATTTTACTTGCCTTATGCTGTAGGAACCCTGATTTCAATATCCATCCTTTCAGTGGTCCAGGTTTTCTTTGTGTTTTCATGATACATTTCAAATATGATGATACATTGAAAGAAACATTATGATTTTTTTATGGGGTCGTTTTAGTCCTATTGTACTGGATTTTTGGATCAACCTTGTACAAGACCATAAAGCGACATTTTTTATGTACCTTACTGCGTTTAGAGAAAGGTTCATGCATAAGTGTAAGAAACACATTGAAAAAAAAAGCCATTCGCATTACTATTAAATCTCTGTAATGTAAATTGTGACATCCACAAAAGTGGACATTATTCACATAACATTTTTCAAATCAGGCTTTGTAAGAAAAGATATTTTGACATTTCGTGATTTTTCCTTGCCTTGTAGTAGCCCCACATGTCTGTATGTCCTGTTTACTCTCTCCTAGAGGATCCAGAAACAACGACCGCTTGTCTTGTGG